CCCAAGAATATGTCACCAGCTAATTTCACAGCAAATAATCTCCAAATAATTTCCCACGTAATAAAATTCCACATAAATTTCCACGAGAATATCTCCATGTAAATCCATAGGATAAATTACTTGGAGATTTTTTTATGGATAAAAAAAGGATTTAAAAAAATATATATATGTCCATGTACCTGCGGATTTACCTAAGGATAATGTACCCGCTGATATATTTCCCCAGGTGATGTCACAAGTAAAAATTTTGTGCAATATGGCGCCAAATTCACCTACGGAATTTGTTGGGAAAATATGATTTACCGGTAATATATCCTAATATTAAGGAATTTAAAATATTCGCAAGAAAATCCGCATCTATTTCTTGCGAAATATTTTGCTAGGTAAGATCTCCATGTAATTCACAGTTTTCTTGTAGTGGTATTAGAATAACTGTCAATATATATTATGTTAAGACTTTTACTTTTATGTCAAACTCTTTTATGATATGAGATTCTCTAGTTTTGTCTATTACGTTGTGTTTTATGTATGTCAAGGAGCTTGTATAGGGCCTCTCGAGAGTTTATAAGTCATGTCACGTCTAGGTGTACTTTGGGTCGTAACAAAGACCCTAAAACAAAATCTGCACATATTAATCTTCTTCAGAGTAAATAAATATTTTTTCAATTCTAATTTATGTGATATTATTGAAATTTTGAGATTTAGACCGTAAATTTGAAAATCCATAAAAATACTGCTAAGTCTAACCTAATTTATATGATACATTTTCCTTTCCAATCATTCCTAAAAAGAATGAAATATTTTTTTGTTCGAAAAATACTTAATAGTACTACAAATATTCAATCTAAGTTGGATCCTACTTATTTGATAAAAAAATCTATAACGGCTTACTCTTTTTAAGAGTAGTTTTTAAACAATGCAAAGTCTTTCCATATTTCTTAAACTTCATGCATAGTTAAACCATATCATATAAATTGAGACTGAGATAATATAAATAATTAGCAACTTAAAGTATTTTTAAAAACATTTAAAATAATTCTGTAAAAATAAACTTGATTAATACTTCAAATTTCAATTGTGGCATATAAATTGAGACGGAAAATAATTGTAAAAGAGTAAAAATCTCACTAGGTACGTAATTATAAAAAGGTTAAAAATTTACTTACCCACACATATTGAACTCATATTTGAAAGGATTAAAGTCGCGTTTAGACATGATTTGAAATCACAATTTGTAATTACATTATTTTAAAATTATAGTTTTGTTTGGCTATGCATGTCACGCCCCAAACTCAAGGGGCGCAACTGGCTCCTAAGGCCAAAACTCAGGCCCGAGCCGACCCTGCTGAACCATTTGCTACTAGCGCATGGCAGTCGCATGCATTTAAGAAAACAAACAAGTATATCTCGGCTTAAAACTAAGCCCTCGGCTGGCAAGGCCCCTGTCAACAGATCTACAAAAGAAACAGCTACTCCCAAGAGTTCATATAAAGAAATTGTCAACTAGCACAGAAGTCCTGATTGGGCCGTCAAGGCCACCATGATCTCTATACCAAAACTGAAAGCATGTATATAACAAGACAATGCATCACACAACTAACAAGCTTCAGCAA